AAACTGTAAGTTTGTTTCAGAGGTGGAACAAGATGAGAATGCCTTCTAACTTTCTTATTCAATATAGTACTGTATGATAAAGTCAGAGCCATTAGATAACAAAATGAAAGGCAACCAGATTTAAAAAACAAAGTTAAATTGTCCCTGTTTGCAGAGAACATAATTGTATATATAGAAAACCCAAAAAACTCCATCAACAAACTGTTAGTACTAACAAATTTAGTAAGCTTGCAGGATACACAATCAACATACAAAACTCAGTATCATTTCCATATACAGACTACAAAATATGTGAAAAGGAAATAAAAACAACCCCATTTACAATAGCTTCAAAAATATAATTAGAAATAAATTTTAGTAAAAAACTGTTCTGGTTGTGGTGGCTTATGCCCGAACCCAGGAGTTTGAGACCAGCCTGGGCAACACAGGGAAACTTCATCTCTAAAATAAAAATTAGCCAGGCCTGGTGGTGTGTGCCTGCAGTCCTAGCTACTCAGAAGGTTGAGGTGGAAGGATCACCTGAGCCCAGCAGGTCAAGGCTGTGGTAACCATGATCCTGCCAGACTGGGTGATAGAGTAAGATTCCAACTCAAAAACAAAACAAAACAAAAAACTGGAAATATCTCTATATTAAATGCTAAAGAATATTGAGGTAAGAAACTACATAAAATATACATAAATGGAAAGATGTCTCTTATTCATGAGTTGACAGAATATTGTTAAATTTTATATTACACAAAATGATCTACAAATATAAAATTCCTATCAAAGTAACTATGACATTCTTCATATTAATAAAAAAAATACAATTTAGATGATACTGCAAACAAGCCTGAATAACCAAGGTGGCTGAGCAAAAAGAACAAAGTTGGGAACATCACATTACTTGACACTGAAGTATATTACAAAGTTATAGTGATCAGAGTAACATAATTCTTGCATTAAGAGACACATAGGACAATAGAGCAAAACAGAAAACCGAAAAACCCATGTTTACAGGCAAATGATTTATGACACAGGTGACAAGAATACACAATGGGGAAAGGACAGTCTCATAAATACATCATGTTGGGAAAACTGAGTATCTACATGCAGAATAAAATAAGAACCGTACTTCACACATATGTAAAGACAAATGTAAGATCTGAATCTACTACAAGAAAATATAAGGTGAAAACCTCATGACATTTTTTTGGGCAAAGACATTTTCAATTCAACCTCAGAATCCTAGGGAACAAAAGTAAAAAAGAGAAATGAATGAAATTAATTCAAAATATAAAGTTTCTATCACACCAGATACAATCAACAGAAAGATAATCAAGGAAAAAAAGTACAAATTATACATGTGACAAGCGGTTGATACTCAAAATATATAAGCTCAACCAACTACACAACAAAAAGTAAATACGTTGAGTGAGCCAAAGACATAAGTAGGATTTTTTCAAAAGAATAAATACATATAACCCACAGGTACATGCAAAAATGCTCAACATCAACAATCTCCAGAAAAAGGAAAATCAAAACCACTATGATAACTAACTCCTGACTATTATGTAAAAACACAAAATTTAGAAGTGTTGGCAAAAATAAAAAGAAAAGGAATTGCATACACACTGTTGGTGTGCATGTCAGTATATCTGTTTGAGAAACAGAAAGGAGGTTTTTCAGATAATTAAAAATACAACTACCATACCATACAGTAATCATACTTTGTGTATGTATATATATGTAATCAGTATGGTGAAGAAACTTCTGCACTTTTATATTAATATTAGCACTGTTCACAGTAGCCAAGATATAGAATCAACATGAATGTCTGTCATAGAATGAATAAAGAAAATGTGGTATTATCCACAATGGCATACTGTTCAGAGCATTAAAGAAATTCATTTTAAAATCACATGAATGAACCTTGAGGACATTACATTAACTGAAGTAAGCCAAGCACAGAAAGACAACTACCTCATTATCCTACTCAGTTGAGGAATCTAAAAAGTTTCTCATTGAATTATAGAGTAGAATGGTCCTTATCAGGGATTGGGATTTTTAGGACAGAGGGACCCTTGGGAAAATATGTCAAAAAATACATAATGGCATTAGGACCAGTAAACTCAATATCTAATGTATGGCATGATGGTTACAGTAAATGAGAATACAATGTCCTTTTGAAAGACAGCCATCATTGAGTGTTCTCTTGGAAAAAAACTGTGATATAAAGCATTTGCTAGCTAGAATTAAACATTTAACAATAGTTATAGGTAATTTAATACACTGTGTTTCACGTAAGTATATATAATTTCATCTGCAAAAAATTTTTTTTTTGAGTCCAGAGTCTCACTCTATCACCTAGGCTGGAGTGTAGTGGCAGGATCATGGCTACTGCAGTCTAGACCTGCTGGGCTCAGGCAAACATTCTGCCTCAACCTTCCAAGTAGCTGAGAATACAGGCACATACCACCATGCCTGACTATTTTTTTGATTTATAGTAGAGACGAGCTCTCGTCATGTTGCCCAGGCTGGTCTTGAACTCCTGGACTCAGACAATGCTCTTGCCTTGGCCTCTCAAAGTGCTGGGACTATAGGTGTGAGCCACCATGCCCAGCCACATCTATGAATTTAAAAAATATTTTTAAATTATCATGGAGTGATAGCAATGTTTCTAATAATGACTCTGTGTCTTTATCATAAGCTTAGCCGAACAGTATCAAATATATGGTTCTGTGATTGTTTAATAAAACTTCATTTGTCAGTCATAAGCAGACAGGTGGTGCTAATGATTCCACCTCTTGTCAATTTGTAAACACAGAAAATAAGTCTGTAATCACTAAGGAAATGTTTAAATCCTAAAGCTGTCGTGATTTCTGGTATTTCTTTAAAGAGAACAACCAAAGAGATGGCTATCATTAGGAGACAAAATTAAAGCTGTGGACTGTAAACTAGAACCATTAAAATAAAAAGATCAATGACTGCTTATCTAAACACTGAACTGTACTCCACATGTTAAAAATAAAAATTTAGAAATCATAAAAAATAAAAAAGATATTATAAAAGCAATAAATTTCCCAAGATTCCAGTATTAATCTGGAAAAGACAATTTCAAATTTTAAATCCACAGAAGTCTTTTTATTTTTGTCTAACACTCAACATACATACTTAAAAATATTCTGCATGAAAATGTAAGTTGTGCTATGTCCTAGAAAATTAAAATTTTTCTCTCACTGTTACCTCTGTTAAAATTTATTTCTTGAGATATATTTAGTCTTAGAAGATTTTAAACTTCTGATGTGCTTCTATACATAGTGCTTATAGTATACAGGCCCGTTATTAATGCTTTACCAAGTCTAATTTGACATTTACCACACTTTGTTTGAGATCTAATTACATTTTCCTTTTATCAAAAAAAAAAAAAAAATGTTAACGATTTATCTTCTGGCCCATGGACTGTGCATCCATCTTATTTCAATTAAGTGACATCAATGGTGCACTTATAACCTATAAATGACCTAAAAATCTCCAGCTAAATTTTTTCTAGCCACATTAAAAATTTCCAAACTTCTCATCAGAATCTAGAAAGTACTGTATGAAATGACATAGGGTAAGGAAAAAGTAAGAAATCAGTAGCCATAAGACAAGCAAAGACCTGTGATGCATATGTAACTTAGGATAAACATCTACAGTTTCTAGTTTGCTAATAAATTATCAACACTTAAAATTATGTTTTGTCATTCTTTTTTCTTCTCAAAATAAACACCTACACACAAAAACACTTGCATGCTATATAATTCTCTTACATCTAAAGGTTATCTTTATAGTTATATATTTAATTCCATGTATATAAAAACTAAAAGTGTGTGCTGCAGACTAGAGAGGTCACATGTTCAGAGAAATGTAGAATAAAATTTTGTAAATAGTATAAATTCAGAAATGTTTGGCTTTTGATTATACTCATATAATCTTCACTATAACCAATCATAATACTCATATAGTTACAAAAAAAGATAAAAAGAATAAAATATAACCAGTGAGAACACTATTCTCAAAATTATTTACAGTTTAAAGCCACTGTAAAAATGGATCACTAGAGATGTTACCCAACAGTATATTTTTGACATCTGTTCTTTACAGCCTCGAGCAACATGGAACAAGTTAATGTTGGTAGCAAGTTATACGATTACATATAAAAAGGTCTTACATTAAAAACAATTTTGTTATTAAAACAAAGTTTACACATAGTCTAAAAAAGTACTTCAAAGTCCACGGTTTTTTATTACCCTAATGTGTAACTGACAAAACAATTTTTTTCTAAAATTCAAAATGTTTCTTTCCTACTATTATACAAAAGAATATTACCCTGAACACCTACTTAATGTATCACTTACAAGACTGTTGTTAAGACAAGCACAAAAAGCCTTTCCACTTAGATTTTCTTCACGCATCTTATATTTTAGTTTTCCTAATTATCCATGAAAAAGTGTATGAATGACACCCACCTAATAAAGGAAGAGCTTTCATATCACTGATACAAGAACAATTGACCATGTGCTTTCACATAAACACTTGGAATGAAGGCATGCAATCAAGTGATTTTAAAAGCTTAGTTACATCAATATTTACTTTTCCAAAAACATCTTAAATTTTTTTCAATGAAGAAATGTATCATTTAAATGTAATTATAACTCTCCAAAACATCAATCTTTTGCTCTGTTTAACCTATATACAGATTATCTGTTTAATTTTAAACGGTGCTCTATAAATACTCTGAGAGTAATGTCTTATAAGTGTTAGTGCCTTAGCACTTTCTACTGTTAATTTTCTGCTATTTATTTAGACTAGATTCTATATCACTTCTTTTCACATTTACTAAGCCTGTAAATTAATTATCAGTATAAACATTCTGGTGTTTTCTAAAGTATATTTTTTGGACACAAAAACATTTTTTTCACAGTCATTATATTGATAGGGTTTCTCTCCAGTACAAATGATCTGACTTTAAAGTTTGAGCAACTGTTGGCAGGTTACTTCCTGTGAAACAATTCTCCTGTGTAGAATAAGCTCTGTGATAGAAGTAAAGGATAACACTAGTTTGTGCATTTATGTTTTTCATCAGTATATTCTTGTACACTCTAAGGTTTATATTGAGTGAAAGATTGTGCCAGAATCATTACACTTATACTGCTTTTATCTAGCATGAATTCTCTGATGTTGGGAAGATGTGAGCAGTTATTAAAGGCTGTTTTATGTTTCCAGAATTTTTCTTCTAGTATGAATTATCTTATGTTGAGTAAGGCTTGAGCACTGGTTAAAAGATTTTCCACATTCTTCATATTTGTATAATTTTTCTCAAGTATGTGTTTTCTTATGTTTAGCAAGGGCTGAGCACTGTTTAAAATATTTTCCACATTGTTCACATTTGTAAGGTTTCTCTCCAGTATGAATTATTTTATGTTGAGTAAGGCTTGAGCAATGATTAAAAGATTTTCCACATTCTTCACATTTGTATGGTTTTTCTCCAGTATGAATTATCTTATGTTGAATAAGGCTTGAGCATCTGTTAAAAGATTTTCCACATTGTTCACATTTGTAGGGTTTCTCTCCAGTATGAACTATCTTATGTTGAGTAAGGTTTGAGCACTGGTTAAAAGATTTCCCACATTCTTCACATTTGTATGGTTTCTCGCCAGTATGAATTATCTTATGTTGATTAAGAATTGAGCACTTGTTAAAAGACTTCCCACATTCTTCACATTTGTAAGGTTTTTCTCCAGTATGAATTATCTGATGTTGAGTAAAGATCGAGAACCACTTAAAGGCTTTGCCACACTGTTCACATTCGTAGGGTTTCTCTCCAGTATGAATTATCTTATGTCGGGTAAGGTTTGAGCACTGGTTAAAAGATTTCCCACATTCTTCACATTTGTAGGGTCTCTCTCCAGTATGTATTCTCCTATGTTTGGTGAGGAGTGAGCACTGATTAAAAGATTTTTCACATTCTTTACATTTGTAGGGTTTCTCTCCAGTATGAATTCTCTTATGCTGAGTAAAGACTGAGAACCACTTAAAGGTTTTGTCACATTGTTCACATTTGTAAGGTTTCCCTCCAGTATGAATTATCTTATGCTGAATAAGGCTCAAGTAGTGGTTAAAACTTTTTCCACAATTTTCACAACTGTAAGCTTTCTCTCCAGTATCAATTTTGTTATGTCCAGTAAGGACTGAGCACTGGGTAAAAGCTTTGGCAAATGTACCACATTGTGAGATTTTGCTATGGATAGTTGATGAACATTGGCTAAGCCCATTATAGCTTTCTTTCTGCCACTTATGCTGACTCATTATTCCGTCTTTTCTTAAATGTAAATTATCAAGGCCAAAACTTCCATGTCTTTTCAGTATTACTTTTTGAAATGACTCTCTTATGCCTTGCCCTGGCAAAAGGTCTTGAGTGAAATAAGAAGACACAGCTGAAAGAAATAAAAATAACAAATTTAATAGTTATTAAACTCAGCTTAATATACTTTACAATTCTAAAATACAAAATACCAAGCACTTCATCAGTGATATAATAGGATACCACAGGCCCTGTTTCCTTTATAGACTAATAAACTTAAAAATATATTGACCAAAATTCCTGTGTGAGAACTCTAAAACACAAATAAGTATTTGTAATGCCACAGGTGAGCACAATGCCAAAATCCATGTAGAAAAATCAGGAAAGTTTGTTATATTTACACACAACAATGACTTCTCTTCCCCAATACAGCATGGTGATTTAGCTGCTAAGAAAGAAAATTATGGCACATGTGCTCATACTTCTGACTTTTAGGGGCCTTTTCAAAGGCTGATTTCTGTCTTCCATGACACTGAGTGCTATGGTGTACTTTAAATGACAGGTTATATCTGCTGAGATCAAAGGTAAATAGATTTACTACAGTAAATAAACTGCAGTACCACAGACACACAACAGGTATAATATATGATTACAGGCTCTTACAACGGAAAGTTCCTTTTTAACTGAATAATAAAGACATGTATTCAGAGAAGAAAAATTCTGAGAACAGGTTTGAGAGAGTCCCAGAATCTCTAGACTGGTAAATTGGTGTCACACTCCCCTAGGAAAAGGCCATTTTATTAAGATTGGAGAAAATGGCTTTTTTAATCCCAAATCTCAATAAAAAAATCACAATATATACAAAGTATCAGAGTAAAATTGTCCAATTAAAGAAACAAAATAAATATCCAGAAATCAGCACTAAAGGAATGGAGATACATAAATTACCAGAAAAAGATGAAAATACCTCAAATATGCTCAATGAGTGAAATGACAACATAGCTAAATAAAATTAAAGAAAATCAATAAAATTATTAAGAAAAACAAATTGCAGAGCTGATATATACAAAAAGTAATGACTGAAAAATGCTCAAATATAAAAAAACATAAAAATTAAGAAGTTCAACAAATTTTCTACTAGGATAAACAGCAGAAACTCATAATAAGACACAATTTAATAAAAGTTTTGAAAGTCACAGGCAAGAAGAAAATCTTAAAAGAAGTAATAAAAAAAGAAGTGTCATATATATGCATGACCTACAAGATTGCCAGTGGATTTATCAACAGAAATCTTCCAAGCCAGAAAGGAGTTTGGTAATATACTCCAAGTGCTACAAGAATAAGATCTTCCAAGTAATAGCACTGCAACCAGGAAAATGATTCTTTACAATAAAGAAAAAATAAAAGACTTTTCATAATAAGCAAGGGCTGAAAAAGTATATCACCAGTTGAACTGCCCTACAAGGAAAAGATTAAAAATGTCAGTTCCATTAAAAATCAGAAAACAAACAAAATAACATAAAAATACACAGCTCTCTGGGCAAGGTATGAGCATACACAAAAATAAAATTTAGCAGTAAAATAATGGTGCAGAAAACACTTTGAATTATAATCTAAATTTTGAAAGAGAAATGCATGAAAATAATCATAAATATCAGTTAATGTATATGTAACATAAAAATATAACTAGTGATATCAATAACATAAAGTTAAAGGAAAATGTAATAAGGAATAATTTTGTATACAACTAAGCTTAAGTTGTTACTGGTTGAGTGACCTTATCAGATTTTATGTAATTTCCATTGTACTGAGAAAACAAAGACCTATACAGACACACAAAAGAATATAAGAAAACAGTCACAACATGCCACTACAAAAATCAGCACATAAAGACACAAGTAAAAAAGACAAAATAGCTACAAGAATCAAACAAAACAATAAAATGGCAGCAGTAAGTCCTTCCTTCTCAAAAAGGTTTTCATATATTTATAAACCAAACTTCCCAACTTCTCACACAAATATAGATTCACCAAAAAATATAAGTCAAAATTAAGAAAATTTCTGACTATTCACCAGGAAAGAAGAAAGCAACCATTGACCACCAGTATAGAACACAGTTACAAAAGACATAAACAAAATAAAGATAATATTTACACAGGTAAAGCCACAAATAGAAAAATATAAGTCAACATGACTGATGCATATTTTACTTGTGCCTCACACTGCCTTAAAGTATATATACTTGAATATTTTATACAAAATTATAATTTATAAAAATAAACACAATTATGTGATATGGCCATGCTAAAAAGTGAAAAATACATGATATTGCAAGATAAAGTTAAAAGAAACATTAACCTCCAAAATATAAAATATAGTGTGCTACTGAAAAAGAATACTTCAAAATAATGACAATTTTCAATGACTGGGTATCCGTTAAGAGCACACATTTTAATTATTGGCATAGTTAGAAAAGTATTTCACAGAAAATGCATTGTAATCATTCATACAAAGCTTTGATAAGAACAATTTAAAAAATAAACATTTGAATTACAGAAAAATATTTATTATATTAATATATTGCCACTCATACAAAATAAAAAGGTTATGATCTAGCCTTTAGAAGCAAAAAATACAGGAACTATATATTGTAAAATATGATATGAAAAACAATAGACAAAGTGTATAATAAAAATATATTATGATTAAGATAAAGGTTCAAAAAGTAGATGGAATTGCTAATAGTAAATTTTTGCATACAGAAACATACAAAAAATTTTAATAAATACGGATGGCTACTAATTATCTAATTCACTTTTTATATATCATATAGATTTAAGCATGTTATTTCACAATAAGTGAAACTTAAATTATAGGCAAAGTTGGCAAATCAGTAAGCAAAAATATACAGGACACATTCCTGTTATCTTCCTGTTAAAAAAATTAAAATAATAATTACTATGAAATAGGTAACAATTGGGAATTTAGTACATGCTAAGCAATAGTCTAAGGTCACCTATGGCATTAATGTTTTTAGGAGTTCTACAAAAGTGAGTAGATACAATTAATTATTCTATAGTACAGGCACTTGACATATAGAGTTTAAATTTTAAAGTTTTTTCCTACTAATAAAAATATTTTAAAATAAAATTGATGTTTAAATTTTCTTATATTTAATAGTTATTTGTGTTCTGATGTGGTTTCTTTATCTCATTTTCTTATAAAATCATGTGTGAAACCTTCATAAAACTGAAAATAAAGCATAAAATATATGACTTGTATGCCTGGTGTTTGGAAAATTTCAGTGTCTCCACTATTCCTCTCACAGAGTTCTGACATGAGGAAAAAAACAGATATTTAAAAATTTGCTTAACATGAAAGTCTCCAAAAATTTTCAAAGATTTTTCCCACATTCCCTAAACAATGTAAGAGCAGATAGATCATGCCAGCCCTCACACCATAAAAGAACAACATTGGCTTTCACTGTGAATGTACTGGTAGTTCATTAGAGGGAAATGAGAAGCTTTAGATAATTTAAGAGCATACTAAGCATAGGGAAGAAAATATTCCTCTGTGATAGCAAGAGAAGCAAAACCTAGGCTTTACATTGGGGCAGAGCTTAACCTTTAGACCTCTCACATGTGTTGCCTGATCATGCATTCTCACCTATCTGGGTGTGTGACAACTGCCTCCACTCTTTCACATTTCAGGAATACTTCCTTTACAGCAAGAAGTAACCACATTCAGCTTAAATACTATCCACCATATCCCTTCCTTTCCAAAACAGTAACCGGGCACAGGAAAAGCAATACGCGCTCAGTATCACTCTCAGAGAAACCTAGAACAATGGAACATATGTTCAAAGCTTTGGTTTATTCTGGGAATGTCTGACTAGATTCTCTCTCCCCTAACACAGAGTGCTAAATAAAATAACAGAATAATAAGCATGACAGTTTTTGTGTGCTGAGGAAGGTAGAAACTTCTTGCAACTTTAAAGAAACTGCAATATCATAGACAACTAGGGATGTAAAAGATTATACAATCTGAAAAAAGAAATGGGGACAAATCTCTTTAATTTACAAAAATACACACATAACACCAGAGAAGACACATCTGAGAATATAATTATGAAGCACCCAGAATCCATTGACTGACCGCTGTCAGAATATCCTGTAATAAGCCAGTCTTTAAATCCTGTATTAGAAGATGGTTTATAAATATCCAAATTTCAATAAGGGATTACAGAGTATACAAAGAAAAGCAGGAAAAAAAGAAAAAAAGAAAAGCCTCCACTTGAAGGAAGAAAATAAATCTCTAGAAATCAATCATTAGGAAATTAAGATCTTTGCAATATCTGATGAATAATTCAAAATAACCACCATAAACGTACTTTATAAACAAAAACAGAATATAGTATCAATAAACACATTAAAAGTATTTAAAAAGCCAACAGAAATTGTGGCCGGGCTCAGTGGCTCAACCTGTAATCCCAGAGCTTTGGGAGGCCGAGGTGAGTGGATTGCCTGAGCCCGCGGGCTCGAGACCTCATCTTTACAATAAATCAAAAATTAGCTGGTGTGGTAGTGCGCGTCTTTAGTTCCAGTTACTTGGAAGGCTGAGGCGGAAGGATTGCCGGAGCCCAGCAGGTCGAGGCTGCAGTCGGCCACTGCACTCCAGTCTGAGTGACAAAGTGAGACTCCAATTCAAAAAAAAAAAAAGAAAAGAGAAAAAAAGAAATTGTGGAGCTGTAGCATAACTTAAACATTTACTAGACATTCACAACAGCAGAATTAATGAAGCAGAAGAAAGATGTAAAGAATTAAAGAAATATCATTCATAAAGATTGGGTTATGAAAACAAACTTATAAGACAGAATGGAGAAAAATGAAGATGGAATATAGGCCTTATTGGCCACTGTTAAGTCAAATCTTGAAAAAAAATATAGGGGTAAGTGGTAGATAAGCTATCTGGGGGAAAAAAAGGAGGGAAGGAAGTTGAAAACTCCCCAAATTTCAAAGTGATAAAAACAAAAGATATTACCAATCAATACTTGATCCATGAAAATTTTACTTCAATAATAAGAAAAAAAAAAAAAGACTTTCCAAGATAAAAACTGAGGGCGATTATCACCTC